ACACACACACACACACACACACACACACAAAAATAACAACACAGTGCCAGAAAAAAAATCATGTGACGAATGGACATGAAAGCTTACAGCCTACATCCAGAGTTAGTCTGCCTGTTGCTCTTCCAGCATCATTGATGGCTACACAGGTATAATCACCAGCATCCAGATCTTGTGTTTCTTGAATCTTCAAAATTCCCATGAGAGGGTCAATACTGAGGAATGTTGATGGCCTCAACTCAAGATCTCCTAAGTCAAAACAAGGGGAAGAACATTAAACACAAAAAAATTTATATGGTTTACTCTGCCACTGACGTGATTTTGAAACGTCAGAATAAGAACGATTTCAGTGTTTCAAATTCCAGCTGTGTCTTGCACAACATAGATACTTTACTTTCAATGACCTAAAACCTGGTCCTGCAATGAATTATATATATAGCTGCTTCTTCCATTTATCTGTATCCAAATAATAGTGAGAGCTCTTGGAAGCTATGTGGAAAGTTGGGGCAGGCTGGAAACCAGAACAGTGGCTTTGGTCAGTAAAAGGAGAGCTAGGAAGATGAGGGGTAAAGAGAGGCTTGTACTATCTTTGTGGCTTGGGGCATTTCAGTGACCCTGGCTGAGCTTGAGCTATCACAGGTATTAGCTTAGTGAGTGACCAGGCTCTTTGTTGAATGGTGTCAGCTACAATTCGTCTTAATTTATGAATGGCTGGAGAAGAGAGCTGGTTGGAAAGGGTATGGGAAAGCTTGCTGGGAAAATAGAAATTAGTTAGTTTATATAAATCTGTTGGGTTACCTCAGCTGAAATCTCATTCACTAAAACTTTGAATTTGGAGTGATACAGTGCTTGTAGGAAGCAGACAGGGATCTCAATGCCAGGGCAGGGTGAACAGAGAAAGACTAGTTCCACCTGGAGTGCGTCCATACGCTGTGAGTCCCAACAGAGGTTCTGATCCTCAAAGAACCACTTACTACTGAAGGAGACAACACCTCAAAAAGTCATGGGGAAGATTATGCTTGCACCTGCCATGCACTCCTCCCAAAACATCTCCAAATCAAAGAATGAAATTGACTACAATGACCAGTAGATTTAAAAAGCACATAGCACAGGACACATAATACCATTTAGTGCATTTTTTTCCATTTGTTGTATGAAGGATGATACAAAGTATGTGAGGATCTTAAAATCCCCCAGGAAACTTGACAACCCTTGCTCTAGGGGTTTAATGACATTCCCAAAATCTGAAAGGTACTTTCTAAAATGTCACACATCAGTCTTCTTATAGCCTGGAACTAAGGATCACATATGCAACTCCAATTCAAATAGGCAAAAAAGAAATAAACAAACAAACAACAAAAAACCCTGAGAGCTAGTAGCTCTCTAAGAGAATGTTGCAAACAGCATCAACCAATGAGATTTAGCAACATGTAGACAATTCTCTTTTGTTTATATAACTTTCTGAAGAAATGATGTCAAAGGTTCTCTAAATTTAAAAAGAAAACAATAAAATTCCAATAACTAAAGCAACTGCCAATGCCCCCAAAACAGTTTTTTCCACAATATTTCAAACCCGTAGGCAGCCTCACACTTGCTACTACATACTCCGCTCACAAATTTGAGAGACAGCAAAAGCTTTGTCTAGGTGCCCCTTGGGGACTGTCGTAAACAAAAGCAGATGATGTTGAAGTGACTTTGCTCCTACCACAGGAGGACGCAGGTGACCTTGCTGCTCTTCAAGCCTAGAATGTTTGGAATGTGAGAGGTATTTAGAATTTTGTGATTTTCTTCTCACTTTTAGCTCTTCCGTGTATGTCAGAAGACACCATCTGTGTCAGAAGATAAAATAAAGACCTTTTGCTGGTAGATTTTTGTTCCAAATAAAAAGGTTGAAGGAATGGTAGTCACGAAACAAAGTAGGAATTGGAAAGCCCAAGTTCAATCAAGTTTGTATTTTGATCACATTCTGATAGTTTTCCTTTTCTTGATTTCTAATGAAGACTATTCATCAAATTATTGAGAAGACAGAGAAGTACAGAACTTCTCACATAGAGTTGGTAGGGGATTATTTAGCTTCAATATTAAAAACAAATAATGTTATCCTAGAACATTATACTTGGTAAAATAAACTTTCTAGGTCTGTTTTAGGATTTAATAATCATTACCACTGAATACGCATATTCCCACCATTTAAATTCAGTTCTGGACTCTGGATTTGATATTTAACACTAGAGCTTTTCAAATAGTTGATGGTAATTAACTTGCTATTATAAACGTTTGTCTCAAGGGCTCTCATGGGCCTCTTAAAAATGACTGAGGATACTTTAATCCCAGCACTTGGTGGATAGAGGCAGGCAGATCTCTGTGAGTCCACAGCCAGCCTGGTCTACAGACAGAATTTCAGGACAGCCAAGACTACACAGAGAAACCCTGTCTCAAAAAACAAAACAAAACAAAATAACAACTGAGCAACCTAGAAATTTTTATTTGTATAAATTATACTTATTTGTATTTGCTATATCAGAAATCAAATTGGGAAGTTTAAAAACATAAACATAACTAGTTTTATTTAAAACTCATGATATATTTTTTTTCATAATAAGCATACTTAATAAAAATAATATTTTTCCAAACCAGAAAAATTTAGTAAGAAGAGCAGCATTGTTTTACATTTTTGTGAATTTCCATAGTGTCTAATAGGAGACAGCTGAGTGCTCAGACTTGCTCCTGCCTTTTCTTTATTGGATGCCATACATCACGCAGCCTCCCGAAACTCCACTACTCACTCAGAAGACAATGAAAGTCAAAAGCCAAATAACATCTCAGTGTCATTATGACAATAACTTGGAGCATGGGGAGCCCTTCAAAGAACAGTAAGGAACCCCCAGAGATTTCAAACTACATTTAAGAACCATCAATCTCAATGAATAAATCCAATGTTATATTGTACCACAAATAATCTTTTCAAAAGATTTTAACCTGCTACAGAGGGCCTCTGAAAGCCAGAAGAAAACAGGAAACAACCTTGAAACCTGCCACAGAGGGCCTCTGAAAGCCTCTGCAGTATAGACTGTCAAAGCAGATGCTGAGCCTGATGGCCAACTGATGGGCATTGTAAATGGAATTTTATGTAAGAAGTGGGAAATAGTAAAAGCTGGAGGGGACGGGAACTCCACAAGCAGAGTAACAGAACAAGATAATTTGAACACAGGTAACTTCCCAGTTCCCAGTTCCTTGGTTGAACTACTCCAACCAAGGACTATTTGTGGAGATAACCTAGAACTCCTGCACAGATGTAGCCCATGGCAGTTCAGTGTCCAAGTGGGTTACATAGTAATGGGAAGAGGGACTGCCTCTGACATAATCTGATTGGCCTGCTCTTTGATCACCTCCCCCTGAGGGGGGAGCAGCCTTACCAGGCCACGGTAGAGCCAATTTTGATGAGAACTGATAGACTAAGATCAGAAAGGAGAGGAGAACCTCCCCTATCAGTGGACTTGGGGAATGGCATGCATGCAGAAAGGGGAGGGAGGGCGGGATAGGGAGGGGAGGAGGGAGGGGCTTATGGGTGGATACAAAATGAATAAAGTATAATTAATAAAAAATTAAAAAAAATTACACACACACAAAAAAAGATTTTAACGTTGTCTCAGATTTTTCCTCAAAGCCACCTTACACTGTTTATTTCTAGCAACAACAAGCTTATACTCTTGGAGGTCACTTTGCCACCTGGGACTTCTCTCCAGTGGCCCTAATGATATACATATGTTAATGCTACTTTATTCAAACAGAACTGCCCAAGGAAAAGATATTCTGAGGTTAAAGCAGAAACTCTGCTCTACTCCTGTGGTTTCTATGAGGTCAGATTTAGTGACCCCACCCCCTATAGCCTTCTCCCCAGGACACAGGTGAATTGGTGTCCACCTGCCTCCAACTCACTCATGCTAGAGCCTGTACACATGAAAAAGGTGTTGTCGTTTAGTTTTCTCCTGGTGACTCTGTCTGCTTGCACATTAACCTCCTGCCTGTGACTGGCAGGGTGAACTGGGCTGATATCGAGTTCAGGGGTGTGTATTGTTAATAAGCATTCGATCATGTCTAATAGTATGAGGTGCAGGCATCTATGCCCACACGGATTGGAAACCACTGGGATATTATTAACTGAACTCACTGAGTGCACTATTTGTGGTAGAGAGAAGAAACAAGTGAATTTGAAAATGTTCCACGTGGTGACTGCATTGTTCCCTACCTCCTCCTCAGCCATTTGTGGGACAGGGATTGGCGTGAGGCCTCAGCTTTTCAGATAAGTAGCCTAATTTGTGAACAAGACTTTCCATGTAATTCACACAAAGAGCCACCCATAACTTTCTGAAGTGATACTGCCATCATTAATTACCAAGTCACATAAAAACTGACTTTCTGTATCTATTTAACCACTGTCTGAATTTGAAGTCGTGTATTTATTAACTGGAAATCCAAAGATTTAAGTATTTCCAATAAGTAAAATTAATTTATAGTCACTAAAATAAACCTCAGTAAGGAACAAAACCAGAATTTTAAAAATTATTATCCGGGACTGCATACAAACTAAAAACTTTTGAGCATAAAAAAACATAGACATGGCATTATTTCCTAGTTTCTTTCATTACTTTTGATTTATATTATTTCAAAATATTTGGGTTTTTTTTTTTTTTTTACATAAAGCCTTTCTCTTTTCACCTCATGTTCCCTAAGTTTGAACCCGAGGTGAATTCATAATTTTGTGATTATGACATCAACCAGTTGCTATGGGAACATCTACGATTTAACAAACAGAATCATAACAACAGTGCTTTGTGCTATTTAGCGTTTTCGTCTGAAGATTAAAAAGTATTTTGCAAACAGCATCTCAATAATCCTAGCAACCTCCTGTTTAGAATGTTTACAGAATTTTCTTTATTTTTATCATCAAGAGCTGAGAGGGAAGTAAAAGCAGGAGGCTGTACACACATGTGGATCATCTTCATCCGTGCATGGACCCAGCTTCACTAAGACTCAATAGTCTTAGTCATTGCTTTGCCTTTAGTATAGAATCAGGGGTATTGTCTACACATTAAAATGTAGATATAAGTTCTATAACTGATGGGAGAGAAAAATCTTGAAACTGACCAAGACATACCCTTGCCTGTCAATTTCCTGTGAACCTTTATGTGTATCTGCAGTTGATCAGTTTACAGAAGGCATCCTTGAGGACCTAGCATCTTAATAGCACGCACACTCATCTCTAAGAAAAGTGAACTAAAACCAGGGAAGCTATTTTAAACGTCAACTGAATACTCTTGGACAGTTTTCTACAGGAAACAGTCCTAAACTAACAAAGAGAATGTTCAGCTGGGTTAGCAAGGCAGACTTCTCCCGCTTTGATTTCACAGTCCTGTAATCCATACCAGATGTCAAATCCTGAGATTCCAAGTTCAGAATTTTGAACTATTGTCTCCAGTGAGATCATAAACACATTTTATAGGCCTGCTAAGTCACACACCAAAACAAATTTTTAACAAATAATTTTTTAAAGAAAAAGAAAAACAAACGAATTGAGCCAAACATGAACATACTTAAGAAATGTACCTTTGAACCACTTTACTTGAGGTGGGGGAACCCCAGAAGTTTTACATTCCATAACTGTTGTATCCCCAAGGGCCACCAAGATCTCACTCTGAATTACCACCAACTTTGGGGCTTCTGAAAACCAAACACAAACAAAAAAGTCACATAGACTTAGATTATGCTTGCTGAATGAATCAATGAACATTACACCCATATCATGTCCCCAATTATGTTTACAAGCAGAAAGACACTCTCATACTGTGTATGTGTACAAATGTATATGATGAAAAGATGAATGTTGAGGCCAAAACAAAGATATTAGGCAAAAATAATGACAAAAGTATGAATAATTACTAGAAAATGAAGGCACAAACCATAGGACAGCAATTACAAGCTCTTGATGAAAACGAGGTCTATTAGGAGAATGGACTCAGAGAAATAAATCCATCCTCTAGCCACAGCACTAAAAGAACAGAACAGAGGGGTGATCAAAATAAAATGGACTTGAAAGAGGAATCGTGTTATAATGGACAGCTAAATTAAGACTCAAGGCTAATACAGTTACAGATGAATTAAAATCACATTCTCTACGGTGTAATCTGTAATTAATTATCTTACACACTTTTTTCCTCTGCTTTCCAGTGCCACACTATGTGTGCCCATTCCTGTAATACATTTATTTCCTTTTGTGTATGGTTCATGTTTTTCTTAGTGCTTTTTGCTTTACCCCTTACCTAAATGATTCAAGACCTTCCTAACTTCAACTCCTAATGTCACGCCCCTGCTAATGCCCTCCAAAGGTCCCTGCTGCCTTTGAAGAGTTCAGCTTTCAAAGCCCATAAACCATTTCCCTTTTTAACTTCACCTGCAGTATACTTGCTGGCTTATCACTGGCTGGAGAGATCCACTTGGGAGCCCCAAATACAGCCCTCCTTCATTCATTCTCTCGTTTTTTGCTTTTGGCAATCTTCCCCGAACTCTCCTTTGTCATGGTGGCTCTTCAAATTCCACTCATTCTTTCAGACTTAACTTAAATACTATCTCCTTTGGGAAGTCTTTGACATTCTTCAGTCAGAATTCATCTTACCTCTGTGGACACTCGCCCCTCCCCACCCCCAGTACTTGTCTGAACTTTGTTTTACGGCCTTATGTATCCACTTCCATATGAGCCTATGAAAAATAAGGACTATTGTGGCATAGATTTTTATTTTCTTTGTTTTAACAGTCTCTGACAGAACATCTGGCATGCTCAGGGTATTATACAGCAAAGAAATATGCTGAATATTTTGGTTTCTCTGTGACTAACACAAAATATACCTCTGCCATGCAGAATCCCGTTTTCATCACTGAGTCCACATCTTCATCCTTCATTACCCCTTCACCTGTTTTCCTTGAACATTTTTTAAGCCAGTTATCTCTGAATTTGAGTTGACTTTCCCTTAAAGATTTCCTCTCCATGCACTTGTCTCGTGATCGCTTTTTCCAGGCTCCAACGACATGATCACCTTCATTCCTCCATCTCCTTACATGCCAATAATTGTCTATTCTTATTATGGCTTTTCTACACTTCTCTCCTCATCGCTGACAGTTTTAATGCATTACCACATTTGGTAAGTTGAATAGGGTAAAAGGTATATTTTTCCAAATAAATTAGCCACAATTTGCCACCTGACACTGGGCACATCATTATATTTTCAGCCAATATTGGGAAGTTCAAATGAAATGCAGATATCCTTTCCAATAACAACATTGTATACATCTTAATAAATTTGCTTTAAGTTTGAAATAGAAAATGATAAATGAAACATGAAAACACTATGATACACAATTTTGATTATAAGTAGATGAATGTAAAATGGAAGATGAGGTGAGAAAAGGCATCGAAATTTTTATCTTGAAGTTGAAATATTACTGAAAATGAACCATGGTAGGGTATAATTCTATGAAGAGGCTAGAAATCTTTCATAAGGAAATTTCCTTGATTTCTGTTGACAAATATGTTTCCTCATTCGTGAATAACATTTGCTTTAATCAATATGTAAAATTAATTATAAATTACAATACAGGGTACAATTCGTCTCTAACATTAGTGATCAGAAAGGATCTTTCCATTCCATACAAGAATATTCACCCCTTTTCCACTGCCCTGTAAACAGGTTATACTTGCCGATGTATCTGAGAGTAGAAGTTTGTTGATCTGTTCCGGCCTCATTGCTGGCCAGGCAACCATAGGTCCCTGCATCTTTGGGAACAGCATTCTTGATGAATAAAGTACCTTCTGGGGTCATCCTGTATCTTTGGATTTAAAAAGAGAGTAAAATTTAAAATGCTGCAATAGTAATATAGTATTATAGTATCAAGACACTGTAGTGCCCTCTTCAAATGTTTTAGAATTACAGTTTTGTGTTTACTTCAGACATCATTAAGAGCATCATGCTACAAGAGAACAAGGGAAGATGTAATAATACTAATAAAATAGTAACAATAACAAAAATAATTGATATTTTTCTGTTTTTGTGCCCAGTTGTATGATAAAATACCCTAACCAAAAGAAATATAAGGAAAAAGGGTGTATTTTGCTTACAATTCCAGGTTATGCTTTATCATCATGGGGGAGAAAAGGTAGGAACTTGAAGTAGCTTTCCCCATCACATCCACAGTCAGAAGCAGAGAGAGAATGAATGCATGGATGCCTCTTGCTTAGCTTGTTTAGTCACTGGGTTTAGACAGTTCTAAACCCAGCTCATGAAATGGCACTGCCTGCATTCACAATGGGTCTTCCCACTTCAATTAACCCAGTGATGAAAAACTTTTTGGAGGCACACCCATAGACCAGCCTGATCAAAACAATCAAGACTCTCCTCAGCTGAATTATCACCGATATCATGTATCCAGAAATGGCTTTATGCCAGAGATTGCTACAGAGGTCCCCTGTTTATTAAAATTTTCAGTCTTCCCAATAAGTAAATGACCCAGATAATAACATCTTTTATAGATGTGTGAAGAGGCCACACCACATGCTCAAAATCAGAGTTACTAAATGGAAGTACTGAACTCTGCATGCAGGTAGTCTTGGCTCCTATGGTGAACTGCTCAGCAAAGGACCCATCAACATAAAAACCTGAGAGAAGTAAAACTTTATGCCACTGACAGAGACTCTGAGGACTCTAAGAATAGAATCTGGCTCAGCTTTCTGGAGCAAATCTAAGCTTCCCTCTCATACCAACCAGGGAAATGGAAGTCTGATGACCAAAAGTCTTGATGCTTCTGATCCCAATATCTGTTCCTTCCCAAGCCTAAGGACTCTTTAGGAAGTATATAGTAGCAAAAAAGACTCCATAGTGTACTATAGTGACAGTGAAAGTAGTTATCATGAATATCTGCAACCCATAATGGAATTTCTTTTGTGCTCTCCCTCCTCCCAGTTTTTTCTCTCTTTTTTTTTCCCCCACTAAATTCATGACAATGCCTCACACAGATGGGTGATAACTATATAATATTTCCCACAGATAAAGTTCATTATCCCATTTCAGTGCAAGTTAAATTGTAGCAAGTCAGGCTGTTAAGTTCACAGTTCAAAGGATGGAAGGATACTTGATCTTCACTACTGAAACTAAGGATTAGTAACCTCAAACATTGTGGAGTCACTATTTGCTTTTTTTTTGACATTTTCTAGCCTGTTTTGAAAGTGTAAAGCCATGGAGTTTCAAGTTTTAATACTAAGGGTTGGGTCTGATTCACTTGCTCCCAAATTCCACCAACCTTTCTCATTCAGTAAAAACAAGGGAGATGATACAAACCCAGTACCTGTGTGAACCCATGATAAACACCTCATTAACAGTCCAGACAATCTTCGGCTTGGGATAACCTGTTGCTGAACACATGATGGAGACCTCAGATCCTCCTGTGAAAGACTGATTCTTGGGCATCACAGTGACTTTGGGTTTTTCTGTAAATGAGAGGAAATTCCGATGGTGAGATGCGCACTTATTTTGGCATGAGGCGATGAGAAGTTGCTTATGCTTCCACTATCTACACATTATGTTCTTGAGGAGAACTCCACCACACTCCAATAACAGCTCTGGCACTGTCAGCAAAAGGATGGGACCTAAAGAAATAAAGACCAGAGAAGCCAACTTCCCTTGAAAAACAAATGAACTGATCCTGACGCCACTTCTGTCTCCACTGGTTATGAGGAACTGTGGTGCTACCTTCCCCCCTCTAGGCTCTAGGTTTTGTCTGCTGTTCAAAAACTTCCCATTAAACTTGTTTGCAAGCAAATTCCTCAACTGGAGCCTTCAGCTCTTCTCAAAGAGTGAAAGCAGCTTTTGAGACACAATGTGCTCTGATTCTGCTGTTAACTTGGTTTGCACCTCTCTTTCTCTTTCGATCTATGAATTATATCTCTGTTGAAGTCAAGGAGCATGTCTTTCATTCAATGCATCTCCCATGATCTTCCATGGAATTTAACATTGTATAGTCTGCAATGGGTTAGATTGAAAATATACTTAACACAGTTGATGGAATAAAAACCGTTCTTCGATCATAATAACTGCCAGCCCCTCTTACGATCTGGCTGTAGTGGTCATGTGACTCATGCATGCAAACCCACAAGACCTCAATATAACAACAAATGGCAATGACTCAAAGTAGCTAATGTTTTCCATTTGTATGGACAGAAAAACACTTTTGAAAATGAAACGTGAAGCATACAATTTACTGTCAAAACATAACCAGGATGTTGACACAGCCCCTCTGCTGTCACCTGTTTTCTATGTCTATATGTTAGGCAGTATGAACGCACCTCCAAAGAAGGTGCTACCAAAGAAATTGTAAACACCTTGCCTGGGAAATCCTCCAGTTGATTGAGTAAAAGGAAAGAAACCCTCTTTCGAAGCGCTTGAAGCAGGACAATTCCATCAGCTCTAAGAGAAAGAAGTTGATTCACTGGGGATTTGCTTCTGCTGTGGCTCAGGTACAGAAGTACACAGACCAGGAATTGTGCTAACATGGGTAGATTTATGAACGAGTGGCTTTCTCTCTCCTCATTCTATCTCATTGGTTTTTTTTTTTTTTTTTACTCTAGATGGAATGAAGCAATTGAATTAACAACCTAGCTCTGGATATGCTTATGGTGTTATTACTCTACTGCATGTTAGTGGGCAAACTGTGGCTTCCGTTCACTGAGAGAAATCCGTATCCGGAAGCCCTGTCCACTCGAGGGAGGCAGCAGTGAAGCAGCTACACAAGCCAAGAACCTAATTAGTGCTTAATTGCTAGCAGCTTACAATCACCCTTCTTTTTTTTTTTTTTTCTTTTCCCTGTTTACATTGCAGTTTTCGAACTAGGATCTTGTCTTTGAAGTCAATGTTTGAAGCCTTTTTCCGGTCTTGCAGACTTGGTTGATAGCCTCATTATTCCACAGATTCTTCACAGTGACCATAGGGATAAAGAAATGCATGAGGTCAAGGGCAGACTGGCCACAGCCAGTAAGTTCACATTGTGATTCCATCTGGACTCCATCAGTTCTGAAAGGCTGAGGGACCGCACATGGCATTAGGGTTGTCACTGACAAGCTTCAGGGGACGAGAAGAGAAAGAGGAGCAATTCTTTTCCTTTCCTTTTCTTTTTGCAATTTAGTGGATACTCACATTTCTACAGTTCCACCTTTTAAAATAAAATGTTTCTCATGGCTAGCTCATGTTAACATGGGCCTGCTGCAGAGCTTCAGGCTGCTCTCAACATTCTTGTCAAAGCTTGGTGCCTTGCAATGGAGTCTGCCAGAATCGGCCTGGCCTGTATCCCAGCAAGAATCCCACTGGTAGGCTCTGTGGTTCGGATATCAAAGTAAAAATAAATGTCAGTTGCTCAAACCAGGATGCAGAGAGTGAAGAGGTTATTGAGCAAATAAAGCCTGGATGTAGGGCGCTACCCGGGGTCATGAAATAAATCTGCGTGTAACATACAGATGGGATGACATCATCCTGCCAGAGGTGAGAAATTTACCATTGCCCCAGGAAGACTATCCCTACTCATGATAAGAAAATCAGAAAAGGCACGAGCAAACACAGGGGGCCAAAACTGGCTACCCACCAAGTAACAGTTGAATCAAGATGGTCAAAATGAGTCAGCCTCTAATTAGGTTAATAAGGACATAATGCCTCTTGTTATTATGGCTTGAATTGTTAATTTTTTCAATGCACAGGGGAAGAATTCCTATGTTAGTAAAGTGGAGAGTCAGGGCAAGAGTATGACATAGAAGAATCATAATGTAACCTCTTCAGTGCAATGACCTATTTACCTACAAACAAATCCAATCCATGTCTCCTTATGTGTGACATTAACCCCATTTTAATGGGGGAAATATGTTCAACTTGAATTTAGAAGCCAAAGTCCAGTTTTAGGACCTGAGAGCAAGTAGTTTGTTTTTATTTGAGGTTTTTATTATAATTTCACTGCCCTCATCAACTTTCCTACTGCCAGGCCACCCATCAGTTCCGTCATCATCCACAGCAGCACAGTATAAGCCCAAGCAATGCAAGCATGATGTGGTGGGAGAAGGAAACACTGATATTTTATTTCTAAGTTATAACAAAACCCAATGATTCAAAATAGTTAAATATATACACATTTGATACATTCAATCAGTTTTAGGTCTTGGTTGCCTTTATGACCTATTGAAACCATTTAGAAATGCCCATAAAAAAAACATCATTCCACCTAGTGGGATCAGCAAATTAAAAACAAATTTCATCCCTTGGAAATTGCCAGGATCATCCTTGCACTAGGAGGTGTCTGTCCTAATGGCTGCAAATGGTTTGTTGTTCTTGAGGCACTGGTTGGAAAATTTTAAAAAACACACCTAAGGACTTTCTCTTCAAGGAGAGACAGTGACAAATTAATCAGACAAGCTAATGCTTTTAAACTTAGCAACTATTTACAATATTTACCGCAATGGGTATACATAGGGCACTTTGGTAAATTTCTGTATGTTGTCATTTGGTTTCACTCAGCATTCATTTATTGAGAGCCTATTATGTTTCAAACAGTATTATCAAAGATCTCATAAATATGAACAGACTGTTTTGGTTTTCGGCTGAATTTCTTTCTAGTCAATTTACTGAAGTAGAAGGGCTGGATTAATTCTGTGTGTATTATGTGCAAAATATTGAAATCTAGATTTACTGCACATATGAAAAACCAAAGCTCAGAATATTTTAATAATTTTCCCAAAGTCTTCGAAAGGCAAAGCTAGGAGTAAACTTAGGTCTTGCTGACTCCATGTTTCTACACTTTAATAGAAATAATAATATTACCTACTGCAGAGAGTTATGTCGGGACAGCTACATTTGTATATATAAAACAAAGCAATTCCTGGCACCTAGTAGATGCTAGAGAACTGTGGCCTTAAATGTTAATCTTGTTATTTGGCAAAGTACAACAAAATAAGTAATACAGAATTTTAAATACCTCTGTGCATGTATAGTGTAGCCATTATCCTTATATTCTATTTAGATTATCCAACTATTTATAAATAATGTTTATTACTTCTTATAAAACTCAGTTTTGACTCTACTTAAAATTTATTATTGTTTGAAATAAAAAAATTATTTTTCTGCTTTCCTGACAGGGAAAAATATGCTAATACCTATGTCACCTGGTACATGTTAAAAAATTGCTGATGCAATGAGCATGTGCTTTTGCTTGTGTAAATTTCGTATTCAGTGAAGTAATTCTGGTCCTCAGAGATTTCCTTCATCAATCATCTTGGGAAGTATTTTTCTTTTAGTTTACTATTGTCTCTGGTGGCATGGCCTAATTAATGACAGATACCCACCCTTCCATAATATCTTAGAAACGTGCGAATCCACCTAATGTTCCTTACAGGAACAGCACAGGGGAGAGCTGAAGGCTTTATGTGGTCCTCTGGCTTCCACGTGGCAGCACGTGGCGCTCCAGCTGTAACTACCCACTGAATCTGTGCAGAAAAAAAGCAGGCCTCCTGTGTTATTCTTCAGCAGCAAGCATCTTTATGGGTTGTGGGGCGGCAGGGGAGAGCTAAGAGGCTCCCTATTCTTGCTGCCTCAAAAAGTGGGGGACTGTTTCAAACAAGACTTTGAAACTAACATCATACATATAAATATAGCTCATCATTTATTCTAACTTATAAATCTCACCAGCATAAGCATTTGTAAGACTAACAACAACTGAATCATATTAAACATTTTTTAAAAATCACTTTAGCCTTGTGTAAAACTTCACAAAAGTCGCATGTCATATTTTCTCAGTTGGGGTGAACTAATTATTTAAAAATAACAGCTTCATAAATATTTGTTAAAGAATTATCAGAATTATAGTATAAGTTTGGGTTTTAAATGTAAGCATGCTGGCATGTATTACAACTGGAAAAGAAAACACTTACATAATGAAATCTAAACCTGGGAATGTGACTCAAAGAAACCACTGCAAGCTAAGGAAACATGAACAGTCAGGTGAGAGAACCATGAGATTTGCTGAATATCTACATTCACGCAAACCATTCAACTGACTTGTGTTTCAGAAAATATAAATGATTTGTTGTGTTCCTGAATCTAGTTTTTATTGTGGGTAATATGATATTCTCATGAACAGTGCTGTATGGGAAACTGGAAAATGTTTAGCATTGAATTCCTGAATCTGATTTTTACTGTATTGTACAACTGTAGAATGAATTTTGCAGAACTTGTTCTTTCTTCTAAACAACTGTATTTGTCATGGAGAAAGCTAGCTTTAAAACATTACATAATGACTGCCATTGATTGAGTTTCCTGAAAAGTGTTATTAGTAGCTGTAGCCCAGCCTGACAAACATTTATTTACCTACTGATTTAGGTCATTCACTTTCTTCAGAACATGTTGACATTGTTCTCAAATGAATTACTTCCATTTCTGATTAGAGAAATAATTCCTC